TGCTAAGGGACACATCCTCTAGAGTGTTCCATGGAGTTGCACTTGAACTCGCTTGTAGTCCAGGAGGGAGTGAGGCTTGTGCTCCTCCTGCCACAGCCTCTTGAGTCCTTTGGGATTCCAGGTTGTAATGACAGGCCCAGGAGTATTCTTCTCTCTCTTTTCTCCTCATTTCCTTCTTTCTTTATCCCTCATTCTATGTTTTTCTATCTCTGTGTCTCTCTCTTCCTTAGTATACCAAGAAATAGTCTGCAATGTTACATTTAAACGCCACCCCCCACACACATACAGGGCAGAAGCAGTCGGATCTCCTAGGTTCAAGGCCACATTGACCCACATAGCCAGCTCCAGGATACTGAGGTCTATAAAGAGATCCTGTCTCAAATAAGTTTCAAACACAAAGCAAATAAATGAAGCTTAAAATCAAACAAAAACCTGTGAGCCCGAGTTAGGATCCTAGCAGCCACATAAAAAGCTATATTAATTATGAAGCTGTTGGCCTTGCTTCTTACTGGCTAGCTCTGACTTAAGTAATTACCCCATAATTGTTAATCTAAGTATTTCTCTTACTGGAGAATAGTTCCGGGCTTCCTACCCCCATGGCGTTACATCTTGACTCCCTGTGTTTCTCCTACCCATAGTCCTCCTGGACTCCTAGTTCCACCTATCTTGGTTCCCTATTGGCCAACAGTGCTTTATTGACATAATCACAGTACTTCCCCCATCAGGGAAGGTGCTCAGAGTCCTAAGGGTACCATGCAGAAGTGCCCAACCCCTGAAGCCCGATACTGCCCTGTCCTGTGAGATGCTGAGTTGATCTGGGACCCTGGTCCCCAGGAAACTCTCCTCTCCTGGGTAGCCAAAGTGTCAACTTGACTAGGTTCAGAATCCCTTAAATTGCTGTTGAGGCATGCCAAGGTGTGTCTTGAAGTGTTTTCAAAGAAAACTGAAGAGAAGACCCTCACTGATTGTGGGCGGCACCCTCTCCATTAGCTGCAGGTGTGGGTGGAGTAAAACTAGGGGAAGGAAAAAGCCAGCAGATGCTCAGCACCCAACATCTTCACTTTCTGGTCCTCCCTGAGACAATACATTTCCCTTGCTGCAGGCTCCTACTGCCTCGATGTCCTGTTCAAGTGATAGTGTTACCCAGTCTTGGTGTGTGGTACTACTAAATATTTCTTTGAAACACACTGGAACACAGAGACTAGTGGGGGAGTTGTACATTCAAGCCTGACTGGACAAAATATGGTTGATATTGTCTTTCATAAAGGAACAAATCTAGGTACACGTTAAAGAGAATGGCATCTGCTAAAATAAATATGACCTACTAAAGGAAGCGGTGGGACAAGAGAATTGCATGTCTGCATTAGTTCTCTCTGTGACCAAAATCCCTGGTGGATTTGGCTTAAAAAAGAGTGAGAACTTGTTTTGTCTTGTGTGGGGCATGTGAGATCACTTCAGTTCACAGCCTGGTGGGCCTGCAGTGGAGAAGGAATGCACACCTTCTCTTTTCCCCACTCTTTTACTCAGACTTCTTGTCACAGCACACACAATGGCATCCCTACATTGGTGTTCCACCCAAAAACCTTATATCCTCATAATCACCCCAGAGGGGTGCCTCATTCTCCCAGTGAGATGAATCCAGTCAAAGAGGAAAACGGTCAGAGGATACAGACAGGCAACTAAGGACCACATGATTTGTAGCACGAACAATAACAGACCCAGAGACTTACATTGGTGTTCAAGCTTCAAGGTGAACTCGAGAAAAGCAGAGCAGCAGGGCACCAGCTCTCACTCTACCTCAGGCTGAAAGGTGATCCTGGCTCCAGTAAACCTCTGACTGCTGCCTCTCCTCAGCCTGGCTGGAGAATCCTGAGTCTTCAGTGCCCTTCTACCCTCAGTGTGACTGGAGAAGGAATCCTCATCCTGACTACTGAAGACCCTGCTCCTATCTTTTATACCCTCGAGTGCTGGGGATAAAGGTGTGTGATCCCAGGTACTGACGCCATCTTGGTGAGAGCTGTTTCTCTTTAGGACTGGACCAATCTTGTGTAGATCTTGGAAACCTTGGACTCACTCAGATCCTTCTACCTCTTAATCCTGAGTCCTAGGATTAAAGGTGGATAACATCACCTCCTAGCTCTGGGATTTAATGTGTGTATCACCACTGCCTCATCTCCATAGCTTGAGGCTGGCATTGCTTTCTGAATCCTCAGGCAAGCTTTAATAAATCATGAATAATATATCTGTACCATTGTTCCTGATGGTTAGACTTGAGAGATATTTTGAGCAAAAGAATGGTTTGGTAATTGTACAAAAACCTCTACTACAGATGGAAGGTCATGTGCTTTATTGTGAGGAAAAGAACCTCCAATACCAAGGGACTTACACGGGAACCCAGCAAGGTAAATGTTTATAATAATTGAAGGTATAAACATCCAAGCTTTCCTTGTATAGAATCAAAAAGAAAGCCAATGGAAAATCACATAAAATGCTCTGTGAAGCACATTTTAGAACACTAGTAACGGCTCACAAACAAGCTTTGAATGGAAGACAGTTGTGTCCACACAATTCCCTTGCACTAGGAAGGTCACTGTTAAACTTCAGCATTTTCTTATATCAAATTGAGGTGGATTATAATAAAGAAGGTAGCCCGCTGAATTAGTGCAATAGCTGAGCTACCACTTCAAAACTTGAAGGTAATGTGTGGATTTATTTTACAAATGTATAAATAAACAAATAAAAAACTAGTTCTACCTACATTATCTGACCTAGAAATGAATGTGAGAAGTGTGTGGTGAGAAAGGGTGGGAAGAGCTGGAGGACAGAAGAGAATTCTGGGACATGATAGAGTAACTCATAGAAGTCAGTGCCTCAGCCAGAGGCTGCTATGTGTCTGTGCACCAAGGCACAGGAGAGCCTGGAACCCATACAGGGAAGGGACTCACAAATGAGAGGTAGAAGGACATGGAGTCCAACATGCACCACTCAGGCAGCTCAGGAGAGGGGGACCAAGGGATGAGGGGTCTTTAGAAGGACAACCTGGCTGGTCAGCACAGAGGCACAACCTCTGAGTGCCATTCTCATTCAGACCACATCCATCGTGCTAGAAGCACTCATAGCAGCACAGCATTTTAAAATGCACCATTGAAAGGGCTCAATGAGAAACACCAGAAACAGACAGCACTAAATCACAGAATATTATCAAGACAGCCTGAAACTCAGAGAGACATGCGGAGTGTGGGTTCCAACAATGGGGGGGGGGTTCTTTATTCTTTTCACGTAGACCCAGAGATTGTGATTCTGTAAATCAGAATTCCATCAGGCTTTGGGACTGGGCAAAGGTGGTTAATGTGACAATTCTAAATTTACTTGGATATGCTCAGGGTAGAGGCAAACTTGATTAGTTAGGAATCTCTAGAGAAACAGAACCAATGTGATACGTGTGCCTGCAGGTGCGTTTGGTATATGAGTTGGCAAACATGATGATAGAGCAAGTCCAAACCTGCAGTGGGCCAGCCAGACTCAAGATGGTGGATGGTGAGTGTCCACTGTGAAGGCTGTGCCACTGAAGGTTCTCTCTGGCTCAGGGACTGTCCCCAATTGCTTTACATGGATGTCACAAAAAGACTGACCAAAACACTCTTGGGGAAGGAAAGGGTCTATTGGCTCACAGGACACACTCCATTGCAGAGAGAAACCAGGGTGGAGCACTGGGCAGGAACCTGGAGGCTGGAACTGAAGCAGAGGCCCTGGAGGGATGATGCCTACTGGCTACATATTCATGACCTGGTCGCTATACTTTTGTATGGAACTCATGTAAAGTGCCCTCTGCTTGCCCCACCTGCAGTGAACTGAGCTCTCCCCTCTTCACCAATCCCTTATTAAGAAAATGTACCACAGTCTTCCCTCAGCTCTGTCTTATAGAGTCATTTTCTTAATTGAGGCTCTCTCCTTTGAGGACTCCAGTCTCTGTCAAGTTGCCATAAAACAAGCAGGAAGTGTCTGCATGGGACTAGGGGTCTCCATGCAGCTAGGGGTCCCAGGTGGTAGAATGCTGGGCTAGCCTGTGCTAAGCTCTGGGTTGGATCTCCAGCCCCTCAGAGAACTGGGCATGGTGATGTAATCCCAGCACAAGAGGAGCTAAGGAAGGAGAACCAGGAATTCAGGGTCATCCTCAACTACAATTGGGTACGAAGACTTCTTGGGCTACATGAGACTCTTCTGAGAGAAAAAGAAAGGAAGGATGAGAGGCAGGGGAGGAGGGAGGGAAATGCTGACAGACACAGGTGTTCCCCATGATCTGGGTGGGATGAAATGAATCTGGTCTGAGGCTCTAAAAAGGAAAAGGACACACAGAGCCAGTCTTCAGGACACAGGTGCTGTCCTCACAGGGCTGCTTTGTGACTGCCCTGCTGTGGCCTCAGAAAAGTGAGGAGATGGGCTGAGGAGATGGCCCCTTGGGCAGTCACACTCCAGGCCAAGGACAAGGTTAATCAGAAGCCCCAGCTGCCCTTGCCAGAGTCAGTCACGTTTTTCATGATCTTGATCTCAAACACATGAGCTGGCTGTGCTGGATTTCTAGGAGAAGCTTAGCCAGGTGTGTGTTCCTCAGCTAACCCCTAAAGTTTGCTTCTAAACTGTAGGGCTCCATGCTCTTGTCAACATCTATCTCCCAAAGTATTTACATGACAATTCACAGCATAGCAAAATTACAGTTATGAAGTAACTACGAAAATAATTATTTGGTTGGGGATACACCACAATATGAGGAACTTGTATTAAAAGGTCGCAGCATCAGGTAGGCTGAGGGCCGCTGTCCTAGATCCAGGGGATTCAACTAGGTTCATGATGGAGACGTGTTGGAGAAGTGGTGATGAAAATGATTCCTGGGCGTTTGTGCTGCTTCCAGGAGAACTCTGTACGGGCTAGGCTGAGCATACAGGCCACCTGGGGAAGTCCGGCAGCTGTTTCTAGGGATTTGGGCTCCTAGCCTAGCCCGAGAAAAGTAGGTTTCTCATTCCTCATTTTCCAGGCCCCTGCTGCAACCTGTGGTTAGTTCTCTGTCTGCCCCTGCAGGACTGCATTTTAAGGATTCCAGCAGCTCCTTGTGCTCCTCACTATGGCTGCTGCTCCCCTGGGGCTACCCCCAGTCAGGCTTAATTGGGAAAAGCCTGGTTACTATAGGGATGAGAACCAGAGAATCTGGAAGGTTTTAAGCCTGCAATTTACTCCCGACCATCCAACTCATAGCAACGTGAGTTTTGGGGCACCAGGGAGGCTGTATCCTGACCTTGTGGGTAGTCTTGGTGTGCTAGGGTGTGTGTTGGGGTAGATTATCACTCTGAATACTGCTCTGGGCTCTGGGTTTCGACTAAAATGGAACCCCGGAAGCTATACTAATCTTTGATGTTGCAGGAAGAGCTTTTCTAGGTAAGAAAACAGCTCCCCAAGTACCAGGGATGTCAGTTGAGGGCAAAGTCCTGATGTAGGTGTGACAGATACTTTGTGTCCTCTGCCTGAAGGGTGTTTGGTCTTACACCTGGGACAAATGACTGAGGTGACAGTTAACATATCAACATGGCCTCTGGTCACCATGTTCTCCCAGCATGCCTAATTGCCTACCTGTTTCGGGGAATGGCAGACTTGCTTGCCCTCTATCCTGAACTGTGCAGCCCAAGGCCTGAGCCCCAACAACCAACTTTCCCATCGCAGCCCACCTACTCTGGTCCTTTCCTATATAGCTCAGCCATTTTGTCAATGCCATTACATGACCCAGGCCACCCCACTTGGTCCTCATCCCATCTCCCCCTCTCCTGTCCTCACTTGGCCAGGCTCACAGTCATCTTCACTCCAAAGTCACCCAGATGTCTCCATCTCTGCCTGTGCTCTCCCTTTTATCTACAATAAACCTTCTCCTCCTCCATACCTAGGAGCAGTCATGTCCTTCCTTTTTCATCCTTTTTCCCCCTCCATCTGGGGCCAACTGTGATATGTTATTGAACCTCAGTTTGTCCCAGTTTGGAAACTAACAAGGGGATAATTCATCTGTAGTACCTCCAAAAAAAGTCTTCACATATATATCTATTTTTCCATAAACCTACACCAAATACATTATGGAAATTTTTAAACCAAACATTTTCAGTTAAAACAATAAAACCCAGAAAAGTATTCTGTTAGTGAAGATGTAAATGAGAAAGTTTGTGCAGTCAATAAATTCATTAGAGTCACACTGTCTCCCATCATCCTGCTTCTGGGCAGCCTTGAGTTAAAGTAGCTGTTAGATCCACGTGTGCCTAGAGTGGCAGATGAGGCATCTGGACAATTGAGTTAAAAAGGGGTGAGGAGAATCTGGTGGGTCCTGTAAAAGAATCAACCTGAGGTCCCAGGCAAAGCTGTTGCTAAGGGACACATCCTCTAGAGTGCCCCATGGAGTAGCACTTAACTCACTTGTAGTCCAGGAGGGAGTGAGGCTTGTGCTCCTCCTGCCACAGCCTCTTGAGTCCTTTGGGATTCCAGGTTGTAGTGACAGGCCCAGCAGTGTTCTCTCTCTCTTTTCTCCTCATTTCCTTCTGCCTTTATCCTCTTTTTTCTAATTCCCTCTCTCTCTTCATTAGTATACCAAGAAATAGTCTGCATTGTTACATTTACACACACACTCACACACACACAAACACACACACACACACCTACAGGACAGGAGCTGAACTCTAATTTCAAGACCACATTGGCACAAATAGCCAATTCTAGGCTCACCAGGTCTACACAGAGATTCCTTATCAAACAAGTTACAAATACAAAAGCAAATAAATCTTAAAAACAAATAAAAACCCGTGAGCCAGAGTTATGATCCTGGCAGCCACATGGCTCTGATACCCATAACTTCAGTGCTGTTGGAGACAGAACCTTCTCAGTGAGATCTCAAAAAGGATCAGGAGGTTTTTTTCAATCAGTGGCCTCAGCGGTAAGCTGTTCATTTTTCAGGCTCTGAGGACTTGGGAACACTCCCTGGGCCACCTTGGTGCAAAGCATCCAGAGACAATGGAGTTTCAAGTAGAAAGTCATTTACTACAAATGCAGGTGACACGACAATGTGGGTCCCTGTCCCTTCTTTGCTATCCTCCTTCCTTCCAAGCCTAAAGTCAAAATACCCACAAGGGATAGACTCTCAAAAATTGTAAGGATAACAACCAGGACAGTGACCTTCCACAGTGTGACAGGTCAAGAGAAATGCAGGAATTCACAGGAAGACAGGAGGACACAGTAGGGAGTCTGTGACATGCTCTCTGCTCTGTGGTCTAACTGGCATTTGGTTATAGTTTATACTGGCTGATTCCTTTGTTGTTTTTTTTTTTCCCTTGGTTTTTCAAGACAGGGTTTCTCTGTGTTACAGTCCTGGCTGTCCTGGAACTCACTATGTAGACAAGTGTGATCTCAAACTCAGATCAGCCTGCCTCTGTCTCCTGAGTGACAGGATTAAAGGCAGGCAACATCATGACTGGTTATGGCCACCTTTTCACTTTGTGACTTTCTGTGCTGGCTAAGGTTTCTGTTTGCAGTTATTGAACGCACTTGAAGCTCACTGTCAATACTTCATTGCATTTATTTGGTAAAGCCATCACCCAGGGCCCTGGTGTATGTGTGCCAGCATGTGTTGTGTTGATGAATGTTCAGGTGACTAGCTCTGTCATTCTCTACATTATGTCCTGAGACAGCATCTTCCACCAAATGTAGAGCTAGTCTGCCAGTCAGGAAACCCCAGTGGTCCTCCCATCTCAGCTTTCTGCAGCCCTGGCACATGTATGACCGTGACTTTTACATGGGAGTTGGAGATTCACACTTAGGTCCTCATGTCTGTGCAGCTAGTACACATAACCTATGGGGCCATCTCTGCAGATGTCTCAGCTTTCAAAGGAGAATTTTTACACCTTTGGAAATTGTTGAGACAGAGTCTCATGTCCAAATCGAGCATCTGTGAAAGGCGCTGTGTGTCTGGAGACTGTGGCTACTGTGTGGGAGAAGCTGGGGATGAGCAGGGATGGGCAGAGGGAGGACAGGGTCAGACCAGGCAGAAGAGCAGCAGACACCCCAGGTCCTGGGAAGACAGAGGTGTTGGAGACAGGGCTGTGACAAGGATCTTTGGAACCTTTACAACAACAACACCAAAAAAACTTGCCCAGCAGCCAGGCATGATTACTGGTATGTGTCCCTAATGTTCCTCTCCCCTCTACTCCATTCAGCCTGATGACCGTTTAAGTGTCAGGTTGTTGCAGGTGGGCGAATGCTGCCTGGGGCACCCTCCTCCTATGTTCTCATGTTTGGACTGTCTCCCCATGACATGGAAGAATCTTTCTCTGGAATTATACAGCGGGTCAGACGCAAGGTTGTGGATAATAGTGGAACATGACTGGGTAAGTGTGTGCTGCCTCCCAGTGAAAGCTGCAGCAGGTGGGTGTCAGATGCAAATGCTTTTCATCCTCTCTGACCTCCAGGAAGGTTTTTTCCTCCCCTTCATCCATACTTTGTGTCTTTCACATCACGCATCTCCTTCCCCCTCATTTTCCTGTCCCTTGCAATGTATCTCCTGTCATTCAAACCCCTTCCTCTAAATAAAATAAAATTTAGGATAAAAAAGAAGAGGCAGGATAAGGAAGTATTGGCCTCATTGGGAAACTGTAGAGTGACACAGGGAGTCATACAGTAACACTTTTATCCATATATGTTTACTTGCAAGTGTTCATTGCAGAGACTCATTGTCTGGTTTGAGGCATTTGCTTTCTGCTACACTCTCCATGCTGGGCTCTCACTGGAATTCCTCTTGGTTATCCAGCCGGTGCCCTGTGTAGTGGAAATCCTGCAGCTTTGTGTCTGCAGTTTCTCTACCTTCAAGTGCTCTCGCAGATCACAGATGTGGTAGATGTTGGGGAGGACCAACAGGAAACCCTTGTTCTGGGCCTGAGTAGGGGCAGGGTTGCTCAGCATGCCAGGTCTCCCTTGTCCTCTCCCATAGGCTGAGCTCTCCAGCATTGCCCTGGCTAGGTCACCCCTTGCAGAGATGAGCAAGAGACGGAGCATATTGCACTGGTTTTCTTTCCTCAGGGTCAGATCTCCCAAGCCTGCACTCAGGGCCGTTCTTCTGTGCTGCCCAGGTGTGGCAGAGGGGACACTCTCCTGAGAGCTGCAGCTGATGAGGGGCAGGAACAGCTCTCCCAGGGAGATCCCTACCCCTCCATCTACAAATCTTCCTTCAAGGGATCTAACAGGGTCATATTTAGTGGACGATTTGGGGAGTGTTGTTGTGTGACAAAACCTTTCCTTGGGAGACGAAACATAAACATATTCTAACCCCAGGTAGGGAACCAAAAATAGACCAAAATACAGATATTACTAAGTTCATCTATGTGAAGCAATGAGTTTCATTTGAGTCACTTACAGGAATATAGGTGAGGGTGAGGGATCACTTACAGGAATATGGGTGAGGGTGAGGCATCACTTACAGGAACAGAAATGACTCAAAGACAGCTGCATCACCAAAGGACACCCAGCACTGATGACAGAAGGCTCACAAACCTGGGACCCTGGAGCACACTGCACAGCCTGCTGGCAGCTCAGCAGGTTGGAGAGTGTCCTTTCCAGGTGCCTCAGATGGGCTAAACCCCTTCCAGGAAGCTGTCTGGTTTCTGATTGGCTGGATCGCTCCTTTTGTGTGAGAAATTTGCTGCTTGGTTCTGCTTCCTGTGGCAGGGAGGGGCCTAGTGAATCTGGTCAGTTTCAGGGAGTTCTTGAAGATATTTTTGTTGTTGACCTCTCTATTTCAGGAGGCTACTAATACAACAGAGTGGAGACAGCATGGTGAGGGAGGGGGGTCTCCGTGCACACCTGTGGGTATCTGTGCACAGTGGGGCAGCTGTGGAAGTAATGCTCACCCCTCGCTATAGAATTCACATCCCCTGATCCCCTTGTGCCCCCTTCCCCTCTGTGCTGCCTCAAGTGTGAATGGTCATTGTCTTAGAGTTGGGTAGATGTGTGTCACCAAGGATCCTGATGGCTGTTCCCTCTTCTGCAGCTTGGAGACAGAGAGCAACTGGAACTAGAGATGGGGAACAAAATTGGTAAGACTGGCACCTGAAAGTTCTCTCTCTGTATAAGAAGAAGGTGCTGGGGTCTCTCCCTGGGATTTCCTTGTGTGGTCACCTGTCACCCTTCTCCTTTGGATATATGTGCTGTGAGCTTACCCAACAATAAGCACAGAGTCACCCTCAGTTCTGGAAACAATTCCATGTGTCCAGTGCTCCAGGTCACAGCTAAGAAAACAGACTTTGGGTATTGGAATGCAGGTCCTGAGACAACAGAGCCCTGGGACTGCAATGATGGGACTAGAACCTAGTGACCTTGTCTCTCCAGTTTAATCATGGAGTGCTGCATGGTGTTTGCCCAAGAGAACCTACACTGGGCATCTTCCCCACCTTGGAAGCAGCTCTACCTGTCTGAGGAGAGAGTGGTCCAGGGGCAGGGCTGGAGCTGGACTGGCTGGAGCACAGCCTTTGGGTCCAGCACCCAGTTCTGCAGGGATTCACTAAGCAGTGTCTCCTTGCTTGGTCCTCTCTAGGTCGAGGCATCCATTCATTTCCCAGGCGCATGCACACTCGCTGAAGATTTTATGATTCTGCTTCTCTGCGTATTCCCCAAGTTTCCAGTTTCCAGTTTCTACTGCGTGGCCCAGCCCTGAACTTCACATGATCTGCTTCTGTGAGCCTGGCTGTCTGTGTCCTGAGCCTTCTCACTTCCTGGGTACAGCTGTGACTTTCTTGTCTCCTTTTGCCTCTGAAGCTGAACTTACAGATTGTCCTTCTAAGGACCTTTCATCATTTTGAACTGCTCCCCTGGACTCCCAGTACAGCATGCCCCTCGGGTGACTCTGATCTGGAGGCACCTGTGGAGCAGGTATGGATGGGGACTCCATGCCCTGTGGATCTCTGAGCTAACAATGCTGGCTGGAAGTTGACCTGGAGCTGGGCAGAGGACTCTGTGCTCCGTGCTTGAAGGCACAATGGGATGTGCACAGGGAGCATCTGGTCACTTCTCCCACGTGCTCAGGACTTGGCTTCCAGAAGTGATGCTGACCCTAATCCCTAGCCATACTTGTTTTTAACTAATTAAACTTACTGCTTTTACTTAAGCTCTTTGCTTGCCTGGTCTGCCTTTATCTGGGTTCGAAAGCATAAACTGGAAGTTGACCCCCAAGCATTACAGGAGCACTGTGTGACCTCTTCAGGACATTTCCTCACTGGGGAATGGTTCCTGGTCCATTTCAGCAGCAGGATACCTGGGGAAGGTCTAACAGGGAGGCTGTGTGGGAGCTGGGTGAAGCTGTGCTGGGCATAGGATAAGATGCTGTGGCTTAACCTGGAGGGAGGGAGAGTGGTCAGTGACTGACAGAGTCAACACAGGAGCCACACTAATTCACTACAGGCCAGAGGGAGAAAGTGTCCTTGCACATGAAGACACCAGATGTCAAGGGAGCAGCACAGAGGGGACAGAGGCCAGGTACTGGGAACATGTCCTTCCTTCAGCTGATCCACAGGAAAGAAAGGCACTCCCTCTGACACAATTCACAGGAAGAAAGTGTCAGCAGATGGAAGCTGTAACTTTACAGTGTGAATCTAGAAAAACCATTATAGGACTGTTGTCCTTAGCTTAGTTGGTCACAAACTGACTTACCATACACAGTGCTCTAAGTGGATCACTCAGTATTACATGATCAGGGTTCAAAATAGATGTGTCAGCACATGCTGGAATCCTAGCACTTGAGATGTGGAGGTCAGAGAATCAGAAGTTTCAAGTGATCCTTGCATATGTCGTGAGTTCAAAGCCAGCCTGGGATACATGAGACCTTGAGGTTGGGGCATGTGTGTCTGTGTGTGTGTGTCCTTCAAGACATTGTTTCTCTGTATAGGCCTGACTGTTCTGTTCTGGAGAGCACTCTGACTTTGAATTTTCATAGACCTGCCTGCCCCTGCTTTCTGAGTGCTGAGATTCAAATTAGGAGCCCCATCTCCAGCTGAGAGCTTGTTTTTTAAGACAATATTTGTAGAAAATATAGACAAATATGTTTATGATAATGTGCAGGAAAACAATTCTAGGCATATGTTAAAGAGAATGGCATCTGCTACAATAAATAAGACCTTGCAAAGGCAGTGGTGGGACAGAAGAATTGGATTAGTTCACTCTGTAACCAAATGCCTGGGGGAAACGATTTACCAAAGAGTAAGAACTTTTTTGGCTGGGGTGGAGTCCTGTGAGAAGCACTAGAGTTCATAGCCTGGTGGGCAAGGGAGTGGAGAAAAAACACACACCTCTTTTCTTTTTCCCACACCTTTATTCAGACTGTATGTCCCAGCACATGGGATGGCAGACCTAATGGTGCTCACCCCAAATCCTTGTATCCTCCTAAACACCCCAGAAGTGTGCCTATTCTCCCAAGTGAGATGAATCCACTCAAAGAGGAAAACATTGAGATGGTTGGAGAGAAGAAACCAAGGCCCACTTGATTTGTAGCAGGAACAATAACTGAGGCTTACATTGGTGTTCAAGCTTCAAGGTGAATTTGAGGAAATCAAAGCAGCTGGGCACTAGCTCTCATACTACCTTACAATGAAAGATGATCCTGGCTCCACCAAGCCTCAGACTGCTGCCTCTCCTCAGCCTGACTGGAGAATCCTGAGACTTCAATGTCTATCTGCCTCAATGTGGCTGGAGAAGGAATCCTGATACCTATTACTGAAGACCCTGCTCCTATCTTTCATACCCTTGAGTGCTGGGGTTAAAAGTGTGCGATCCCAGGTACTGAGATCATCTTGGTGAGAGCTGTTTCTCTTTAGGACTGGGTCACTCTTGTGTAAATCTGGGTGACCTTGGACTCACACAGATCCTTCTTCCCCTTAACCCTGGGTTCTAGGATTAAAGGTGGATAGCATCACCTCCTAGCTCTATGGCTGCCAGGATTAAAGGTGTGTATCACCACTGCCTGATCTCCATAACTTGAGGCTGGCTTTGCTTTCTGAATCCTCAGGCAAGCTTTAATAAATCATAAATAATATATCTGTACCATTGTTCCTGATGATTAGGCTTGAGAGACAGTTTGAGCAAAAATATGGTTTGGTAATTGTACAAAAACCTCTACTACAGAGGCCATGCGCTTTATTGTGAGGAAAAGAACCTCAAATACTATTGGACTTACCCGGGAACCTAGCAAGGTAAATGTTCATAATAATTGAAGGTGTTAACACCCAAGCTTTCATTGTATAGAATCAAAAAGAAAGCCAATGGAAAATCACTTTAAAAGCTCGGTGAAGCAGATTTTAAGACACTAGTCAGGGCTCACAAACAAGCCTTAAATGGGAAGACAGGCTGTGTTGCGCACTACTCCCATGAACTCTGCAGTTCTTTTTCATACCTCAGCTCCTTCTTTCATCCAGCAGACTGGATTATAACAAAGAAGCTGGCCCACAGATTTAGTGTACTAGCTTCAGATACTGGTGTATCTTTATGGAAATATATGGATTTATTTTCAAAAATGATGTAGAAGTACAACAAAAGTAAACAAATCAAAAAACATGCACCACTCAGGCAGCTCAGGAGAGGGGGACCAAGGGATGAGGGGTCTTTAGAAGGGCAACCTGGGTGGTCAGCACAGAGGCACAACCTCTGAGTGCCATTCTCATTCAGACCACATCCATCGTGCTAGAAGCACTCATAGCAGCACAGCATTTAAAAATGCACCGTTTAAAGGGCTCAATGAGAAGAACCTAAAAACAGTGAGAACAAAATCACAGAATATTATCAGAGACAGCCTGAAACTCAGAGAGACATGCGGAGTGTCGGTTCCAACATGAGGGGGGGTGGTTATACTTTTTATGTAGACCCAGAGATTCTGATTATGCAAATCAGAATCCCATCAGGCTTTCAGACTGGGATAAGGTGGTTAATGTGAGAACTCTAATTTTACTTGGAAATGTCAAGGGTAGAGGCTAACTTGAATAGTCAGCATACTTCAGAGAAACAGAACCAATGGGACATGTGTGCCTGCAGGAGGATTTGAGATTGGAGTTGGCACACATGATGATAGAGCAAGTCCAAACCTGCAGTGGTCCAGCCAGACTCAAGATGGCGGATGGTGAGTGTCCACTGTGAAGGCTGTGCCACTGAAGGTTCTCTCTGGCTCAGGGACTGTCCCCAATTGCATTACACGGATGTCACAAAAAGACTGACCAAACACTCTTGAGGAAGGCAAGGGTCTATTGGCTTACAGGGCACACTCCATTGCTGAGAGAAGCCAGGGTGGAGCTCTAGGCAGGAACCTGGAGGCTGGAACTGAAACAGAGGCCCTGGAGGGGTGATGCCTACTGGCTACACCTTCATGACTTGTTCACTATTGTATTGAAGCTAGATAACCTGCCCATGGCTTGCCCCATGTACAGTGGACTGAGTCTCCCCTTGCCATGAATCCCTAATTAAGAAAATGCACTACAGTCTTCTCTCAGCCCTGTCTCCTAGAGTCAGTTTCTTAATTGACCCAACCTCTTTCAGATGACTCTAGGCTTTGTCAAGTTGTCATAAAACAAGCCAGAAATGCCTGCATGGGGCTAGGGGTCTCCATGCAACTAGGGGTCTCAGGTGGTAGAATGCTGGGCTAGCCTGTGCTAAGCTCTGGGTTGGATCTCCAGCTCCACAGAGATCAGGGCATGGTGATGTAATCCCAGCACTAGAGTAGCTGAGGCAGGACCAGGAATTCAGGGTCATCCTCAACTACACATTGGGTCTGAGGACAACCTGGGCTCCATGAGACCCTTCTGAGAGAAAAAGAAAGGAAGGAAGAATGAGAGGGAAGGGAGGAGGGCGGGAAATGCTGACAGACACAGGTGTTCCCCATGATCTGGGTGGGATGAAAAGATTCTGGCCTGAGGCTCTCAAAAAGGGAAAGGACACACAGAGCCGGTCTTCAGGGCACAGGTGCTGTCCTCACAGGGCTGCTTTGTGACTGCCGTGCTGTGGCCTCAGAAAAGTGAGGAGATGGGCTGAGGAGATGGCCCTTAGGGTAGTCACATTCCAGGTCAAGGGCAAGGTTAGTCTGAAACCACGCAGCCCTTGCAAGAGTTAGTCTCATTTTACATGACCTTGATCACAAACATGTTAGAGGCAAAGGCTTGAAATCCAGAAGAAACTTAGCCTAGGTGTGTCTTCCTCAGATAACCCAAAGCCTCAGCTCTAAATGTGTGGTTCTCCATCACCTTGTTAACATGTATCTCCCAAAGCATTTACTTGAAAATTCACAACAGTAGCAAAATTACAGTTATGAAGTAGCTACAAAAATAAATTTACAGTTAGGGATGCACTACAACGTGAGGAACTGTATTAAAAGTTCCCAGCATTAGGTAGACTGAGAGCCAGTGTCCTAGATTCAGGGGGTTCAGCTAGTTTTCTGATGGAAACGAGTTGTAGAGGTGGTGATTAAACAATTCCTGGGAGTCTGGACATGGTCCACATGAACCCTGTAGAGGGCTAGCCTGAGGGCACCTGGGGAAGGTGGCAGCTGTTTCTAGGGATTTTTGCTCCTGGCCCAGCTGAAGAAGAACTGGGTTTCTCATGCCTTATTGTCCTAGCCCCTGCTGCAACCGTGGTTATTTCTCAGCCTGTCTTTGCGGGACTGCTTTTTAAGGAAACCCACAGCTCATTGGGCTCCTGACTATGGCAGCTACTCCCCTGGGGCTACCCCCAGTCATCCTTATTCTGGTAACTCCTGGTTACTATAGGGATGAGATGCAGAGACTCTGGAAGGTTGTAAGCCTGCGATTTATTCCTGACCATCCAAGTCATGAATGGGTGAGTTTCAGGGCTCCAGGCCCACTGTACCTGATCTTGTGGGTAGTGTTGGTGTACTAGGATGTGGTGTTCTGGGAGATATCATCCTGAAAACTGCCATGGACTGTGGCTTTAGACCACAATTGAATGTAGGAGTCTATACTACTCTGTGATGCTGCTGGTAAAGCATTTCTAGGTATCAAAACTGCTCCCCAAGGCCGCTGGGATGTCATGTGAGACAAAGCCCTAGGGTAGGTGTGGCAGATAATGAGTTCTCTGCCTGCTGGGTCCCTGAGGGCTGTTTGGTCTTACACCTGGGACAAATGACTGAGGTGCCAGTTAACATTTCAAAGTGGCCTCTGGACATCAGGTTCTCCCAGCATCCCTCATTCCCATCCTGTTTCAGGGAATGGCAGACTTGCTTGCCCTCTACCCTGAACTGTGCAGCCCAAGGCCTGAGCCCCAACAACCAACTTTCCCATCACAGCCCACCTACTCTGGTCCTTTCCTATGTAACTCAGCCATATTGGCCATGGCAGTTTCTTGGCCCAGGCCACCCCACTTGGTTGTCATCTCCTCTCCCCTCTCCTCATGTGGCCAGGCTCACAGTCATGTTCACTCCAAACTCACCCAGATGTCTCCATCTCTGCCTGTGCTCTCCCTTTTATCTACAATAAACCTTCTCCTCCTCCATATCTAGGAGCAGTCATGTCCTTCCTTTTTCATCCTTTTTCCCCTTCATCTGGGGCCAACTCTGATATGTTATCGGATCTCAGTTTGTCCTGAAGGGGAGAATTCATCTGTAGTACCACCAGACACAGTCTTCACATATATATGTATTTTTCCAGAAACCTACAACAGGTAAAATATGGAAAGGTTTTAGACCAAACATTTTCAATTAAAAAATGAAACTGAGAAAAGAATTCTCTTTCAGGATGTAAATGAGACAGTTTCCATGAGAAAGTTTTTGCAGTCACTGAATTCATTAGAGTCACACGTCTCCCAGCATCCTGCTTCTGGGCAGCCTTGGGTTAAAGTAGCTGTTGGATCCACGTGTGCCTAGAGGGGAAGATGAGGCATCTGGACAATTGAGTTAAAAAGGGGATGGGGAGAACCTGATGGCTCCTGTAAAAGAATCAACCTGAGGTCCCAGGCAAAGCTGTTGCTAAGCGACACATCCTCTAGAGCGCCCCATGGAGTAGCACTTGAACTCGCTTGTAGTCCAGGAGGGAGTGAGGCTTGTGCTCCTCCTGCCCAGCCTCTTGGGTCGTTTGGAATTCCAGGTGGCATCAACTGGCCCAGTATTGTTCTTCTCTATCTTTATTCCTCATTTCCTTCTTACTTTATGCCCCCCATTCTATGCTTCTCTATCTCTGTGTCTCTCTTGGTTAGTACAGCAAGAAAGTGTCTGCAATGTCACATTTAAACACCCCACCACACAGACATACAGGGCAAAAGCAGGGGCATCTCTTAAGTTCAAGGCCACCATGGCCCATATAGCCAGTTCCAGGATAGCCATGTTTACAAAGAGATCCTGTGTCAAATAAGTTACAAATACAAAGCAAATAAATGAATCTTAAAATCAAACAAAAACCTGTGAGCCTGAGTTAGGATGCCAGCAGCCACATGAAAAGCCCCATGTGTCTCTGCTGCCCATAACTTCAGTGCTGTGGGGGCGGAGTCAGAGTCCCTACTTCAAAGACATGAGGGAGAAAGTGATGGAGCAGACACCTGAGTCTCCTTTGTCCTTTTCAGACTGTCACATATATGTAACACACACATTCTCTCTCTCTGTCTCTCTCTCTGTCTCTCTCTATCTCTTTCTCTCTCTCTGTCTCTCTATCTCTATCTCTCTCTCTCAAATCACACATACTGTACTCTCACACACTCTCATTAACACTGTCACACACACACATTCTCTCACACACTGACATGCTCTCAGAATGCTCGTACTCATGGGGAACTCTCACACGCATTTTATAACTCACTCTGTCACACTGTATGTGTGTGTGTGTGTGAGAGAGAGAGAGTATATGTGTGTGTTAATATGTGAGAGTAGGTGTGGATGAGAGTGAGTTTGGGTGAGAATAAGTGTGACTGTGTTTGTGAGTGTGTGAGAGATAGCGTGTGAGAGTGTCACTGTGATTCTGTTTGTGTGTGCGCATGAGTTCATACATGGAGTTGCATCAGGGATATTACATTCTTAGTGTGAACTCAGCAAGAATCAGGAGGTTTTTTTTTCAATCAGAGGCCTCAGAGGGAAGCTGTTCATTTTGCAGGCTCTGAGGACTGGGGAACACTCCCTGGGCCACCTTGATACACGGCATCCGGTGACAATGGGAGTTTCAAATAAAACTTCATTTACTACAAGAGCAGGTGGCTTGTCAATGTCAGTGTGGGTCCCTGTCCCATTTTTCTATCCCCCTTCACTGCTGACCTAAAGTCTGAATACCCACAGGAGACTTACTCTCAAACCTTTTAAGGACCACAACCAGGACAGTGACCTGCCAGTGTGACAGGTGAAAAAATTCAGGCATTCACAGGAAGACAGTAAGACAGTAGTAGGGAGACTGTGACATGCTCTCTGCTCTGTGGTAACAACTGGCATTTGGTTATAGTTTATAGTGGCTGGTTCCTTTTTTTCCTTTTTGTTTGTTTCTTTTTCCAGAGAGGGTTTCTCTGTGTAACACTCCTGGCTGTCTTGACACTCACTATGGAGGCTAGTATGATCTCGAACTCAGATCAGCCTGCCTCTATATCCTGACTGATGGGATTAAAGGCATGCACCACCATGCCTGGATATAGCAACTTTTCCACTTTGTAGTTTTCTATGCAGTCTAAGGTTTCCATTTAGCATTTATTAAAAGCCCAGGAAGCTCATTATCAACACTACATTGCACTTCATCTGGTAAAGCCATTGCCCCGGGACCTGGTGTGACTGTACTCCTGCACCAATTGTGTCTTTGAATGTTCAGGTGACAGGTTCTGTTACTCTCTACCTTATGTCCTGAGACTGCATCTTTCACCAAATCTGGAGCTAGACTGCAGTCGGGAAACCCCAGTGGTCCTCCCATCTCAGCTTCCCACAGCCCTGGCACATGTGTAACTGTGTCTTTTACATGGGAGTTTTAGATCCACACTAAGGTTCTCATGTGTGTGCAGCTAGTACACTTAACCTGTGAGGCTGTCTCCCCAGAATCTGTCTCCGTTTTCACAGGAGAATTTTTAAAAGTCTGGAAATTGTCCAGATAGAGCCCCAGGGCCCAACTGACCATCTGTGAAAAGTGCTGTGTGTCTGGAGACTGTGGCTACTGTGTGGGAGAAGCTGGGGATGAGCAGGGATGGGCAGAGGGAGGTCAGGGTCAGACCAGGCAGAAGAGCAGCAGACACCCCAGGTCCTGGGAAGACAGAGGTGTTGGAGAACAGGCAGTGGTAAGGTTTGGAACCTCTCAACTTGACTTTTGTGGCAAAACATCTAGGCCAGCACCCAGGCATGTCTAATGGTATGTGTCTGTAATGTACCTCTCCCTTCTCCTGCCTTCAGCCTCAAGCCTGTATACGTGTCAGTTTGTGGCAGTTGGGCGAATGCTGCTTGAAGTCCTCATCCCCTTTCTCATCAAGTTTAACATGTCTCCCCATGAGATGGTATAAACATCCTCTGGAAATGTACTATGGGACAGACCATATGTACTGGATAATGGTGGTACATTGCCAGGTAAGTGTGTGCTGCCTCCCAGTGAAAGCTGCAGCAGGCAGGCGTCAGATGCAAATGCTTCCCACCCCAGGAAAGTATTTTCCTCCCCTCCATTCACACTTTGTGTGTGTCACATCATTCATCTCTATTTCCTTCATTTACCTGTCCCTTCCCATCCATCCCCTGACATCGCAACCACTTCCTCAAAAGTAAAATTAAATTTAAGAGAAAAAAGTATACAAAGTGGGAAAAAACATAAGCCTCATCACGGAAGCTGTAGAGTGACACAGGGAGTCATGCAGTAAACACTCTTATCCATATATGTTTGCTTGCAAGTGTTCATTGAAGAGACTCATTGGTCTGGGTCTAGGCATTTGCATTTGGTTTCGGCTACACTATCCATGCCCTGGACCCACACTGGACTCCTGTTGATTATTCTGCTGCTGCCCTGTGTAGTGGAAATCCTGCGGCATTGTGTCTGAAGGTTCACTCCCTTCATGTCCTCTGGCAATCACAGATGGTGGTGATGGTGGGGAGGACCAACAAGAAACCCTGGTTCTGGGCCTGGGTCTGGGCAGGGTTGCTCAGCCTGCCAGCTCTGCCTTGTCCTCACCCATAGGGTGAGCTCTCTAGCATTGCACTGGCAAACTCACCCCTTGCAGAGATGAGCAAGGGGCAGGGACAGTTGTCCTAGTTTCATTTCCTCAGGGTCAGACCTCTCAAGGCTGCACCTGGGGCCAGCGCTACTGTATTGTCCAGAGGTGGCAGAGGGGACACTCCCCTGAGAGGTGCAGCTGATGAGGGGCAGAAACAGCTCTCCCCAGGGAGATTCTCACCTCTCCTTCATTCACTCTTCCTTCAAGGGCTCTAACAGGATCACTTTTATTGCAGAATTCTGGGAGTGTTGTTGTGTGACAAATCCTTTCCTTGGGAGGCAAAACAAAATCATCTCCTCACCCCAGGCAGAGAACCCACAACAGACCAAAATGCAGATAACAGCCAGCTCATCTGTGTGAAGCAATGAGTTTCATTTGAGTCACTTACAGGAATATGGTGAGGGTGAGGGATCACTTACAGGAGCAGAAATGACTCAAAGACAGCTGCATCACCAAAGGACACCCAGCACTGATGACAGAAGGCTCACAGAAGCTGGGACCCTGGAGCACACTGTACAGCCTGCTGGCAGCTCAGCAGGTTGGAGAGTGTCCTTTCCAGGTGCCTCAGATGGGCTAAACTCCTCCCAGGCAGAGTTGCTGGTTTCTGCTTGGCTGGGTGACTTCTCTTGTGTGAGAGTCATACTGCTTGGCTCTGCTTCCTCTGGCAGGGAGGGGCCTGGTGAATCTGTTCGGTTTCAGGGAGTTCTTGAAGATATTTTTGTTGTTGACCTCTCTACATGAGGAGGCTACCAATACAACAGAGGGGGGAAAGGATGAGAGAGAGAGAATGTATCTTGGCTGACAAGTGGGACGTCTGCACAGTGGGGCAGGTGTGGAAATAATGCCCCCCTGTGGCTCTGGATTCCTCACCCCAGATCCCCTTCTGCCCTTTATCCTCTGTGCTGTCTCAAGTCTGAATGTCATTGTCTAGGAACTGACTAGATGTGTGTCACCCAGGACTCTGATGGCTCTTCTTGCTCCTGCAGATTTGTGGCATAGAGCAACTGGACTTAAAGCTTGGGATCCCAATGGGTAAGGCAGACATCAGAAGGCTTTCTCTCCATGTAGGAAGAGGGTGCTGGTGTCTTTCCCTTGGTTTCCTTGTGTGGCCACCTGTCACCCTTCTTCCCTGGATACAAGTGTTGTGAGCTGACCTGACAGCATGCACATGGTCACCCACAGTTGTGGAATCATTTCGTGTGTCCAGGGCTCCAGGAAACAGCTAAGCATATTGGGTCCTGAGACCACAGAGCCCTGTAATAGCAGTGATGGCACTAGAACCTAGTGACCATGTCTCTCCTGTTTAATCACACTGGAGTGCTGGGTGGTATTGGCCCAAGAGGAACTACACTGGGCATCTCCCCCAGCTTGGTATTAGCTCTACCTGTCTGAGGAGAGAGTGGTCCAGTGGATGGGTTGGAGCTGGACTGGCTGGAGGACTGGGTTTGGGTTCAGCATCCAGTTCTGCAGGATTCTCTAAGCAGTCTCTCCTTGGTCCACTCTAGGTGATGATAGCTTTTTTGGGCCCTGACTCTTGCAGCCTCAGTGAAGATTTTATGCATCTATTTCTCTGCTTGCTCCACACATTTCCAGTTTCCAGTCCCTCCTGCTTGACTCAGCTCTGGACTTCACATGATTGGCTTCTATGAACTTGTAATGTCTGTGTCCTGAGCCTTCTCCGTTCCTGGGTACAGGTTGGCTTTCTTGCCTGCTTTGTGCCTCTGATACTGACCTCAGAGATGACCCTTCTAAAGAGACCTCATCCATGTGAACGCCTTTCCTGGCCTCCCAGTGCAGCATGCCCCTCCGGTCACTCTGATCTGGAGGCAACTGTGGAGCAGGTATGGATGGGGACTCCATTCCCTGTGGATCTCTGAGCTACCAATGCTGGCTGGAAGTTGACCTGGTGCTGGGCAGAGGACTCTGTGCTCTGTGCTTAAAGGCACAATGGATGTGCACAGGGAACATCTGGTCACTTTTCCCACGTGCTCAGGACTTGTCTCCCAGTAGAGATGCTGAACCTAACCCCCATTCCAAACTTGTTTTTAACTAATTAAACTTTACTTCTTTTACAATAATTCTGTGCTGGCCTGGTCTGTCCTTATCTGGGTTCTAAAGCATAAAGTGGGTGTTGACCTCCAAAATTACAGGAGCACTGTGTGACATCTTCAGGACATTTCCTCACTGGGAGGATGGTTCCTGGTCCATTTCAGCAGCAGGGTACCTGGGGAAGGTCTAACAGGGAGGCTGTGTGGGAGCTGGGTGAAGCTGTGCTGGGCATAGGATAAGAAGCTGTGGCTTAACCTGGAGGGAGGGAGAGTGGTCAGTGACTGACAGAGTCAACACAGGAGCCACACTAATTCACTACAGGCCAGAGGGAGAAAGTGTCCTTGCACATGAAGACACCAGATGTCAAGGGAGCAGCACAGAAGGGATAGAGGCTGGGTACTGTGAACATGTCCTTCCTTCAGCTGATCCACAGGAAAGAAAGGCACTCCCTCTGACACAATTCACAATAGAAACTGTCAGCAGATGGAAGCTGTAACTTTACAGTGTGAATCTAGAAAAACCATTATATGACTGGGGCCTTAGCTCAGTTGGACAGAAGCTGACTTACCATACACAGTGCTTGAAGTTGAACCCTCACTATTGCATGATCAGGTTTCAAACCAGCTGTGTGAGCACATGCTTCAATCCTAGTTCTTGAGATGTAGTGATCAGAGAATCACAAGTTAAAGGTGATCTTTGTATATGTCGTGAGTTCAAAGCCAGCCTGGGATACATGAGACCTTGATCTTGGTGTGTGTGTGTGTGTGTGTGTGTGTGTGTGTGTGTGTGTGTGTGTGTGTGTGTGTATCAAGACAGGCTTTGTCTGTGTAGGCTTGGCTGTTCTGTTCTATACAGCAGTTTGACCTTGAACTCACAAAAATCTGCCTGGCCCTGCTTCCTGAGTGCTGAGATACAAGATAGGAGCCCCAAGCCCAACAGAGAACTTTTTTTCTTTTAAAGAAAATATTTGTTGAAAATATAGACAAGTGTGTTCATGATCATTAGAAGGAAAAGCCCCACACGAGACAAAAGCAGCAGGCTGTGAGACCAGCAGTGGGACCCTCACTGATTGTGGGTGCTGCAGGTGTGGAAGGAATGACAATAGGGGAAGATGAAAGTCCGGTGAGATCCAGCACCCCCATTTTAGTTTCCTGGTCCTACATGAATGAATGATTTTCCCTTCCTGCAGGCTCCCCATGCCTGGATGTCCTGTTCAAGAGAAAGCGTTACCCAGCATTGGTAACTGGTGGGGAGTGGTGCATTCCCGCCTGGACTTGGAGAAAATAGGGTTGACACTGTTTATTGTAAAGGGAGAAATCTAGGAATATATGACAGGAGAATGGCGTCCTCTGCAATAATTAAGACCTAGCAAAGGCAGAGCTGAGACAGAAGAATTGCATGTCTGCATTAGTTCTGTCTGTGACCAAAGAGCCTGGTTGAAATGGCTTAGAAATAAGTAAGAAGTTGTTTTGTCTTGTGTGGAGCATGTGAGAAGCACTTCAGTTCACAGCCTGGTGGGCCCGGGAGTGGAGAAAGAATGCATGCCTGTTTTCTCTCTTCCCACCTTTTATTCAGAGTGGATCTCAAGCCCATGTGATGGCATCCCTACATTCATGTTGTGTGCCACTAGTAACCTCATATCCTCATAACCACGGGAAATGTGCTCTTTCTCCCAAGTGGGGTGAATCCTGCCTAAGAGGAAATCTTCTGAGGATTAGAGAGAGGCAACCAAGGCCACTCCATTTGTAATGTGAAGACTAATAAGTCTTAGACTGATATTGGTGTTCATGCTTCAAGGTGAAGATCAGACAAGCAAAGCAGCTGGACACCAGCTCTCACTCTATCTCAGAATGAAAGATGATCCTGGCTCCAGCAAACCTCAGACAGCTGCCTCTTCTCACCCTAACTGGAGAATCCTGAGACTTCAGTATCATTCTATCCTCAATGTGGCTGGAGAATGAAAGCCTGATACTGACTACTGAAGACCCTACTCCTATCTTTTATACCCCTCTAGTGCTGGGGATTAAGGTGTGTGATCCCAGGTAGTGAGATCATCTTGGTGTGAGCTCTTCTCTTTGGACTGAATCAATCTTGTGCTGATCAGGCTGGCCTTGGACTCACACAGATCCTTCTACCTCTTAACCCTGAGTCCTAGGATGAAAGGTAGATAGTATCAGCTTCTAGCTCTAAAGCTGGTGGGATTCAAGGTGTGTATCACCACTGCCTAATCTCCATTGCTTGAGGCTGTCTGCTTTCTGAATCCCCAGGTAAACGTTAATAAATCATATATAATATATCAGCACATCATTGCTGATGGTTAGTCTTGAGAGATATTTTGAGCAAAATTAGGTTTGGTTATTATATAAAAACTCTACTACAGAGTGAAGGCCATGTGCTTTATTGTGAGGAAAAGAACCTCAAATACCATTGGACTTACACGTGAACTCAGGACCTGTTGGAAAGGTCATTGAAGGGCGTTGCTTACTGGCTATATCTTCATGCTACAGAACCCAGATCACCAGCATAGGCTGGCCACACCTACAATAGCTGAAGTCTCCCCTCTTCATCAATCAGTAATTAAGAAAATCCAGTGCAATCTTGCCTAAACCAAATTAAGGGAGTCACTTTCTTATGACTCTAGGCTCTGCCAAGTTGGCAAAGAACAAGCAGGAAATGCTTGCCATGGAGCTAAGGGTCTCCAGGCATCTATTGGTCTCAGGTGGAGGAATGCTGGGCTAGCCCATAGTAAGCACTGCTTTGGACCTCTAACCCCACAGAGAACTGAGCATGGTGATGTAATCCCAGCACTAGAGTTGCTGAGGCAGGGGGACCACAAATTCAGGGTCATCCTCAACTACAATTGGGTCTGAGGACAACCTGGGCTACATGAGACCCTTCTGAGAGAAAAAGAAAGGAAGGAAGAATGAGAGGGAGAGGAGGAGGGGTGGAAATGCTGACAGGTACAGGTGTGTCATCCCGGTGGGGTGAAAAGAATCTGGCCTGAGGTTCTCAAAAAGGAAAAGGACACACAGAGCCGGTCTTCAGGACACAGGTGCTGCCCTCACAGGGCTGCTTTGTGACTGCCCTGCTGTGAGGAGATGGGCTGAGGAGATGGCCCCTTGGGCAGTCCCACTCCAGGTCAAGACAAGGTTAGCCAGAAACCCCAACTGCTCTTTCCAGAGTCTGTCACATTTTACATGATCTTCTTCACAAACATTTGAGGGACTTTGGCTTGATACCCGGAAGAACTTAGCCCAGGTGTGTCTTCCTCAGATAATCCCAAAGCTTCAGTTCTAAATCTGTGGGTTTCAACCCTCTTGCTAACATCTATCTGTCAAAGCATTTACAGGACAACTCACAGCAGTAGCAAAATTACAGTTAGGAATTAGCTACAAAAACAATTTTATGGTTGGGGATGCACCACAACATGAGGAACTGTATTAGAAGTTCCCAGCATTAGGTAGGTTGAGAGCCAGTGTCCTATATCAAGGGGGTTCAGTTAGTTTCCTGATGGAAACGTGTTGGTGAGATGATGAGGACAACAATACCTGGGGGTCTGGGCAGGGTCCACAGAGAACGCTGTAGAGGGCTAGCCTGAGGACGCAGGGCACCTGGTGAAGCCGGCAGCTGTTTCTAGGGATTTGTGCTCCTGGCCCAGCTGTAGAAGAACTGGGTTTCTCATACATTATTATCCCAGCCCCTGCTGCAACCCATGGTTAGTTCTCCCCCTTTCCCTGCAGGACTGTGTTTTTAGGAAACTAACAGATCTTTGGACTCCTCACTATGGCACCTGCTATCCTGGGTCTACCCCCAGTCATCCTTAGTCTGGTAACTCCTGGTTACTATAGGGATGAGATGCAGAGACTCTGGATGGTTGTAAGCCTGCGATTTACTCCTGACCATCCAACTCATAATATGGTGAGTTTTGGGGCTCCGGGCAGGCTGTATTCTGATCTTGTGGGTAGCCTTGGTGTGATAGGATGTAGTCTTCTGATAGATATAATCCTGAAAACTGCCATGGACTGTGGCTTTAAACCGCAATCGAACCCGGGAGTCTATAATCTCTGTGATGCTGCAGCTAAAGCATTTTTAGGTATCAAAACTTCTTGCCCCAGGCTGCTGGGAAGTCACTTGAGACAAAGCCCTAGTGTAGGTGTGGCAGATAATATGAGTTCTCTCCCTGCTGTGTCCCTGAGGGCTGTTTGGTCTTACACCTGGGACAAATGACTGAGGTGCCAGTTAACATATCAAAGTGGCCTCTGGACATCAGGTTCTCCCAGCTTCCCTCATTCCCATCCTGTTTCAGGGAATGGCAGACTTGCTTGCCCTCTACCCTGAACTGTGCAGTCCAAGGCCTGAGCCCCAACAACCAACTTTCCCATCACAGCCCACCTACTTTAGTCCTTTCCTATGTAACTCAGCCATTTTGTCTATGCCATTACCTGGCCCAGGCCACCCTGCTTGGTCCTCATCCCATCTCCCCCTCTCCTCTCCTCACTTGGCCAGGCTCACAGTCATCTTCACTCCAAACTCACCCAGATGTCTCCATCTCTGGCTGTGCTCTCCCTTTTATCTACAATAAACCTTCTCCTCCTCCATACCTAGGAGCAGTCATGTCCTTCCTTTTTCATCCTTTTTCCCCATCATCTGGGACCAACTTTGATATATTATTGAACCTCAGTTTGTCCCTGTTTGGAAATCTAACAAGGGGATAATCCTTTGATAGCACCATAAAAATAAAACTTTCAAGTATATATGTGTTTCTCCAAAACTACACCAAATCAAATATAGAAAGTTTTAGCACCAAATATTTTCAGTTAAAAAAAAACTCAGAAAAGAATTCTGTTAGTGAGGAGGTAAACAAAACAGCTTCCATGAGAAAGTTTGTGCAGTCGATAAATTCATTAGAGCCACATGTCTCCCAGGATCCTGCTTCTGGGCAGCCTTGGGTTAAAGTAGCTGTTGGATCCACGTGTGCCTAGAGGGGCAGATGCAGCTTCCAGAACAGCTTCTTGGGCAATTGAGGTAAAGGTGGGGAGGAGAATCTGATGGCTCCTGTAAAAGAATCAACCTGAGGTCCCAGGCAAAGCTGTTGCTAAGGGACACATCCTCTAGAGTGCCCCATGGAGTAGCACTTGAACTGGCTTGTAGTCCAGAAGGGAGTGAGGCTTGTGCTCCTCCTGCCAAAGCCTCTTGAGTCCTTTGGGATTCCAGGTTGTAATGACAGGCCAAGCAGTGTTCTTTTCTCTCTTTATTCCTCATTTCCTTCTTTCTTTTTTTTAAGATTTATTTATTTATTATGTATACAGTGTTCTGCCTGTGTATCAGGACACCAGATTTCATTATAGATGATTGTGAGCCACCATGTGGTTGCTAGGAATTAAATTCAGGAACTCTGGAAGAGCAGTCAGTGCTCTTAACCTCTGAGCCATCTCTCCAGCCCACATTTCCTTCTTTCTTTATCTCTCATTCTATTTTTTATCTTTGTGTCTCTCTCTTGGTTAGTATACCAAGAATTAGTCTGCAATGTTACATTTAACCCCCCCATACACACACATACAGGGCAGAAGCAGGCAGATCTTCTAAGTTCAAGGCCACTATGACCCATATAGCCAGTTCCAGGATACCGAGGTATATAAAGAGATCCTGTCTCAAGTAACTTAAAAATACAAAGCAAATAAATGAATCTTAATATCAAACCAAAACCTGTGAGCCTGAGTTAGGATGCCAGCAGCCACATGAAAAGCCCCATGTGTCTCTGTTGCCCATAACTTCAGTGCTGTGGGGGCGGAGTCAGAGTCCCTACTTCAAAGACATGAGGGAGAAAGTGATGGAGCAGACACCTGAGTCTCCTTTGTCCTTTTCAGACTGTCACATACATGCAACTTGCATCACTCTCACTCTGTCTCTCTCTCTATTTCTGTCTCTCTCTCTCAAATCACACATACTCCACTCTCACACACTCTCACAAACACTGTCACACACACACACATTCTCACACACACTGACTCTCAGAATGCTCTTACTCAAGGATAACTCTCTCACACAATTTATAACTCACACTGTGTGTGCGTGTGAGTGTATATGTGTGTGTTAATATGTGAGAGTATGTGGGATGAGAGTGAGTTTGGGTGAGAATAAGTGTGACTGTGTTTGTGAGTGTGTGGGAGATAGCATGTGAGAGTGTCACTGTGATTCTGTGTGTTTGTGTGTGCACATGAGTTCATACATAGAGTTGCATCAGGGATATTACATTCTTAGTGTGAACTCAGCAAGGATCAGGAGGTTTATTCAATCAGAGGCCTCAGAGGGAAGCTGTTCATTTTGCAGGCTCTGAGGACTGGGGAATACTCCCTGGGCTACCTTGATTAAAAACATCCAGAGACAATGGGAGTTTCAAATAAAACTCCCTTTACTACAAAAACAGGTGGCTTGTCGATATGAGTCCCTGTCCCTTGTTTCTATCCCCTCCACTGCCAACCTAAAGTCTGAAGACCCACAGGGGGACTTACTCTAAAACCTTTTAAGGACCACAACCAGGACAGTGACCTGCCACAGTGTGACAGGTGAATAGAAATGCAGGAATTCACAGGAAGACAGGAGGACACAGTAGGGAGTCTGTGACATGCTTTCTGCTCTGTGGTAACAACTGGCATTTGGTTATAGTTTATAGTGGCTGATTCCTTTTTTTTCATTTTTGTTTGTTTCTTTTTCCAGAGAGGGATTCTCTGTGTAACACTCATGGCTGTCTTGGAACTCACTATGTAGACTAGTCTGATCTCGAACTCAGATCAGCCTGCCTCTATATCCTGACTGATGGGATTAAAGGCATGTACCACCATGCCTGGCTATAGTAACTTTTCCACTTTGTAGCTTTCTATGCAGTCTAAGGTTTCCATTTAGCATTTATTAAAAGCCCAGGAAGCTCATTATCAACACTACATTGCCCTTCATCTGGTAAAGCCATTGCCCCGGGACCTGGTGTGACTGTACTCCTGCACCCACTGTGTCTTTGAATGTTCCGGTGACTGGCTCTGTCACTCTCTAACTTAAGCCCGAGACTGCATCTTTCACCAAATCTTGAGCTAGACTGCAGTCAGGAACCCCCAGTGGTCCTCCCGTCTCAGCTTCCCACAGCCCTGGCACATGTGTGACTGTGGCTTTTACATGGGAGTTTTAGATCCACTCTAAGGTTCTCATGTGTGTGCAGCTAGTACACTTAACCTGTGAGGCTGTCTCCCCAGAATCTGTCTCCGTTTTCACAGGAGAATTTTTAAAAGTCTGGAAATTGTCCAGATAGAGCCCCAGGGCCCAACTGACCATCTGTAAAAGGTGCTGTGTGTCTGGAGACTGTGGCTGCTGTGTGGGAGAAGCTGGGGATGAGCAGGGATGGGCAGAGGGAGGTCAGGGTCAGACCAGGCAGAAGAGCAGCAGACATCCCAGGCCCTGGGGAAGACAGAGGTATTGGAGAACAGGCAGTGGTAAGGTTTGGAACCTCTCATCTTGACTTTTGCAGCCAAAACATCTAGGCCAGCACCCAGGCATGTCTAATGGTATGTGTCTCTAATGTACCTCTCCCTTCTCCTGCCTTCAGCCTCGAGCCTGTATAAGTGTCAGTTTGTGGCAGGTGAGCGAATGCTGCTTGAAGTCCTCATCCCCTTTTTCATCAAGTTTAACATGTCTCCCCTTGAAATGGCAGAGACTTCCTCTGGAATTGTACTGTGGGACAGACCAAATGTACTGGATAATGGCGGCACATGTCCAGGTAAGTGTGTGCTGCCTCCCAGTGAAAGCTGCAGCAGGCAGGTGTCAGATGCAAATGCTTCCCACCCCAGGAAAGTATTTTCCTTCCCTTCATTCACACTTTGTGTGTGTCACATCATTCATCTCTATTTCCTTCATTTACCTGTCCCTTCCCATCCATCCCCTGACATCGCAACCACTTCCTCAAAAGTAAAATTAAATTTAAGAGATAAAAGTACAAAATGTGAGAAAAACATAAGCCTCATCACGGAAGCTGTAGAGTGATACAGGGAGTCATGCAGTAAACACTCTTATCCATATATGTTTGCTTGCAAGTGTTCATTGCAGAGACTCATTGGTCTGCGTCAAGGCATTTGGTTTCGGCTACACTATCCATGCGCTGGACCCACACTGGCATTCTGTTGATTATTCTGCTGCTGCCCTGTGTAGTGGAAATCCTGCGGCATTGAGTCTGCAGTTGCTATTCCTTCAAGTCCTCTGGCAGATCACAGATGGTCGTGATGGTGGAGAGGACCAACAAGAATTCCTGGATCTGGGCCTGGGTAGTGGCAAGGTTGCTCAGCCTGCCACCTCTGCCTTGTCCTCACCCATAGGGTGAGCTCTCCAGCATTGCCCTGGGAAACTCACCCCTTGCAGACATGAGCAAGGGGTGGGGACAGTTGTCCTAGTTTCATTTCCTCAGGGTCAGATCTCCCAAGGCTGCACCTAGAGTCAGCTCTACTGTGTTGTCCAGGGGTGGCAGAGGGGACACTCCCCTGAGAGCTGCAACTGACGAGTGACAGGAAGAGCTCTCCTAGGGAGATTCTCACCTCTCCTTCATTCACTCTTCCTTCAAGGGCTCTAACAGGATCACTTTTATTGGAGAATTTTGTGAGTGTTGTTGTGTGACAAAACCTTTCCTGGGGGAGGTGAAACATACTCATCTCCTCACCCCAGGGAGAGAACTCACTACAGACCAAATACAGATAGCACCAAGTTCATCTGGGTGCAGCAATGTGTTTTATTGGGGTCACTTATAGAAATATGGGTGAGGGTGAGAGATCATAGGAACAGATTACAGGAGCAGAAATGACACAAAGACAGCTGCATCACCAAAGGACACCCAGCACTGATGACAGAAGGCTCACAAAAGCTGGGACCCTGGAGCACACTGTACAGCCTGCTGGCAGCTCAGCAGGTTGGAGAGTGTCCTTTCCAGGTGCTGCAGTTGGGCTAAACCCCTTCCAGGAAGAGTTGCTGGTATCTGCTTTGCTGGGTGGCTTTTCTTGTGAGTGTCTTTGCTGCTTGGCTCTGCTTCCTCTGCCAGGGAGGAGACTCATGAATCTGGTTAGTTTCGGGGAGTTCTTGAACATATTTTTGTTGTTGCCCTCTCTGATTCAGGAGCCTGTCAATACAACAGATGGGGCAGAGGAGGAGAGAGAGAATGCATCTGTGCACACATGTGGGGACCTCTGCACAGTGGGGCAGGTGTGGAAATAATGCCTCCCTCTGGCTAGAGATTCCACACCCCAGATCCCCTTCTGCCCTTTATCCTCTGTGCTGTCTCAAGTCTGAATGTCATTGTCTAGGAACTGACTAGATGTGTGTCACCCAGGACTCTGATGGATCTTCTTGCTCCTGCAGATTGGTGACTTAGAGCAACTGGACTTAAAGCTTGGGATCCCAATGCGTAAGGCAGACATCAGAAGGCTTTCTCTCCATGTAGGAAGAGGGTGCTGGTGTCTTTCCCTTGGTTTCCTTGTGTGGCCACCTGTCACCCTTCTTCCCTGGATACAAGTGTTGTGAGCTGACCTGACAGCATGCACATGGTCACCCACAGTTGTGGAATCATTTCGTGTGTCCAGGGCTCCAGGAAACAGCTAAGCATATTGGGTCCTGAGACCACAGAGCCCTGGAATAGGAGTGATGGAACTAGAACCTAGTGACCATGTCTCTCCTGTTTAATCACACTGGAGTGCTGGGTGGTATTGGCCCAAGAGGAACTACACTGGGCATCTCCCCCTGCTTGGAGGCAGCACTACTTGTCTGAGGAGAGAGTGGTCCAGTGGATGGGTTGGAGCTTGACTGGCTGGAGCATAGCCTTTGGGTTCAGTATCAAATTCTGCAGGAGTTCTCTAAGCGGTCTCTCCTTGGTCCTCTCTAGGTGATGGTAGCTCTTCTGGGCCCTGACTCTTGCAGCCTCAGTGAAGATTTTATGCATCTATTTCTCTGCTTGCTCCACACATTTCCAGTTTCCAGTCCCTCCTGCTTGACTCAGCTCTGGACTTCACATGATTGGCTTCTATGAACTTGTAATGTCTGTGTTCTGAGCCTTCTCCGTTCCTGGGTACAGGTTGGCTTTCTTACCTGCTTTGTGCCTCTGATAGTGACCTCAGAGATGACCCTTCTAAAGAGACCTCATCCATGTGAACCCCTCTCCTGGGCTCCCAGTGCAGCATGCCCCTCAGGTGACTCTGATCTGGAGGTGCCTGTGGAGCAGATATGGATGAGGACTCCATGCCCTGTGGATCTCTGAGCTACCAATGCTGGCTGGAAGTTGACCTGGAGCTGGGCAGAGGACTCTGTGTTCCGTGCTTGAAGACATAATGGGATGTGCACAGGGAGCATCTGGTCACTTCTCCCACGTGCTCAGGACTTGGCTCCCAGCAATGATGCTGACCCTAACGCCTGCCCCAAACTTGTTTTTAACTAATTAAACTTACTACTTTTACTTAAGTTCTGTGCTGGCCTGGTCTGTCTATATCTAAATTCTAAAGCATTAAGTGGAAGTTGATGCCCAAACATTACAGGAGCACTGTGTGACCTCTTCAGGACATTTCCTCACTGGGAGGATGGTTCCTGGTGCATTTCAGCAGCAGGTTACCTGGGGAAGGTCTAATAGGGTGGCTGTATGGGAGCTGGGTGAAGCTGTGCTGGGCATAGAAAAAGAAGCTGTGGCTTAACCTGGAGGGAGGGAGAGTGGTCAGTGACTTACAGAGTCAACACAGGAGCCACACTGTTAAGGGAAGCTTTTTCTTTGCTAGCCGCTGTGGTTTATCCCCCGCCAGCCGCCTGGGCTCTGCCGAGATGTAGTTCCCCAAATAACACACAGGAGGCTATATTAATTATGAAGCTGTTGGCCTTGCTTGTCTCTTACTGGCTAGCTCTGACTTAAGTAATTACCCCATAATTGTTAATCTAAGTATGTCTCTTACCGGAGAGGTTTCCGGGCTTCCTACCCCAATGGCGTTACATCTCGAACTCTCTTGTGTTTCTCCTTCCCAGAATCCTCCTGGACTCCTAGCCCCACCTATCTAGATTCCTATTGGCCAGCAGTAATTTATTGACATATACACAGGACTTCCCCAACATCTCCTCTTTTCTGTTTAAACAAAAAGAAAGGTCTTAACTTTAACATAGTCAAATTGTGTATGACAGAACAGTTATCAAGTAAGAACACAGTTACAACATTTTGTCTATTAACATTTAGCAAGATCTAAAGAAAATATCATCCATCCCATCCTTGTGAGTCCAAAGTCCTATATGTAGCTTATCTTTTATCATCACTAAGGAAAACTATAATTATAACTATCTGTCTTCAACTCCATCAAAGACCACAGAAGGATAACATATAAACACTAGGATTGACAGAGGTATCTTACTGCCTGGACAGTCACCCGAAGTTCCTCTGTAACGTTGGGGCATCCATCTTCAGCCCATAGGCCACAATGTGTCTGGAACACTTCTCAGCAAAGCAGGAAATTTCAAACTGTCCATCTGCGCTGGCAGTCTGTCAGTCATTTTTCTTTGTCCTGTAGAAAGTCTCTTAGACTCTTTCATGAGGCAGGAACCCTATAAGACTGAGTTCACCAGCCACTTTTCTGTGGGTCCTGCATGTCCCGATTATACAACAACAGTTAAGCAGTACAGGCAAGAGCAGTTTCTTGGCCAAATGGCTAATCTTGCCATGTTGAAAGCAAACTCCATAATAAGTTTCTTCGATGCCCATCTTCCTCTCATACGTAATTGGTGCTGCCAGGAGCAGACATTTCGCATTGTCAAGAAAAACCCTAAGCCATTTTAAATGCCATTTTCTGAAGGTCTTTGAGAGGTTTGAAGACTGTTTATCTATCTCAAATATTTTTCTGTATATCTAGAAAACCTAACTAACCTAACTATAAGTTCTGACTATTAAAAGTAACTATCTATAATCTGTATTCAATTATGCATTACGTTTTAAAAGATCAGTATAAGCACAATACTTAATCAAGAAAAGAAATATACACATCACAAAATTGACCTTGAATTTGTATCAATAAATGAAAAACAATACCCATACCATAATTCCCTTTTTTACCATTAAAATTCACTACAGGCCAGAGGGAGAAAGTGTCCTTGCACATGAAGACACCAGATGTCAAGGGAGCAGCACAGAGGGGACAGAGGCCGGGTACTGTGAACATGTCCTTCCTTCAGCTGATCCACAGGAAAGAAAGGCACTGTCTCTCACACAATTCACAGGAAGAAACTGTCAGCAGATGGAAGCTGTAACTTTACAGAGTGAATCTAGAGACACCCTTATAGGGCAGTGGCTTTAGCTCTGTTGGTCACAAGCTGACTTACAGGTATAATGCTCTAAGTCGATCCCTCAGTTTTTCCTGATCAGGGTTCAAACCAGCTGTGTGATCACATGCTTGAATGCTAGTACTGGAAATGTAGAGGTCAGAGAATCACTAGTTCAAGGTGATCTTTGTGTATGTCATGAGGTCAAAGCCAGCCTGTGATACATGAGACGTTGAGTTTGGGATGTGTGTGTGTGTGTGTGTGTGTGTGTGTGTGTGTGTGTGTGTGTGTGTGTTTCAAGACAGGCTTTGTCTGTGTAGCCTTCGCTGTTCTCTTCTGTCGAGCAGTTTGTCCTTGAACTCACATAAATCTCCTGCCCCTGCTTCCTGAGCACTGCAATACAAGAGAGGATCCCCACAGCCTAGACAAGACCTTGTTTTTCTTTTATAGAATGTATTTGTAGAAATTATAGACAATTGTGTTCATGATCATTAGAAGGAAAAGCCCCAAACCAGACAAAAGCAGCAGGCTGAGACCAGCATTGGGACTCAAGTTCACAATGACTCTGGGGATTCTCTGAGGACAGAAAACAGAGCAGCAACTCACTCCAGTGGAGAGTGGAGCACAGTGAGGACGAAGGCGGGTGTGAGAGCTGTGCATGCTCACCCTGGTTCTGGGCAGGGACCCGTGGGGCATTTAGACAATATATGGAGATGTATGGTGGCTTCTCCTGCAAGTTGAGGGCCTCTCTGCCTCTACGTGGAGCAGGCTTTCTCTCATGGGCATCAAGGGCATTTGGGTCAGATCCTGCATTGTCTTGGGATGTCCTGAGTGAGTACACAGGGTGAATAGCAGCATCTGTCCCCTGGACCTAAGGTGTCTCCAGACACTGCCTCATATCTTGGGTTTGGGAGTTGAGATAATTTCCAGCCTCGAGGTCATTATAGGGACGGTGCTCAGAGTCCTAATGGTACCATGCAGGGGTGACCAAGCTCTGTATTCCAGTACTGCCCTGTCCTATGAGATGCTGAGTTGATATGGGATACTGGTCCCCTGGGGAGCCAAATTGTCTACTTGACTAGGTTTAGGATCACTTGGATTGCTATTGAGGCATGCCAAGGTGTGTCTTGAAGTGTTTTAAAATAGAACTGAAGAGAAGACCCTCACTGATTGTGGGTGGCCCCTCTCCATTAGCTGCAGGTGTGGAAGGAATGAAATAGGGGAAGATGAAAGTCAGGTGAGATCCAGCACCCCATTTTAGTTTCCTGGTCCTCCATGGATGAATGATTTTTCCTACCTGCAGGCTCCCCATGCCTGGACATCCTGTTAAAGTGAAAGCATTACCCAGCATTGGGGGCTGTTCCAGTGATACCCCCTCAGAAACAAACCAGAACACAGAGACTGGTGGGGAGTGGTGCATTCCTGCCTGGACTTGGAGAAAATAGGGTTGACACTGTTTATTGTAAAGGGAGAAATCTAGGAATATATGACAGGAGAATGGCGTCCTCTGCAATAATTAAGACCTAGCAAAGGCAGAGCTGAGACAGAAGAATTGCATGTCTGCATTAGTTCTGCCTGTGACCAAAGAGCCTGGTTGAAATGATTTAGAAATTAGTAAGAAGTTGTTTTGTCTTGTGTTGGGCATGTGAGAAGCACTTCAGTTCACAGCCTGGTGGGCCCGGGAGTGGAGAAAGAATGCATGCCTGTTTTCTCTCTTCCCACCTTTTATTCAGAATGGATCTCAAGCCCATGTGATGGCATTCCTACATTCATGTTGTGTGCCACTAGTTACCTCATATCCTCATAACCACGGGAAATGTGCTTTTTCTCCCAAGTGGGGTGAATCCTGCCTAAGAGGAAATCTTCTGAGGATTAGAGAGAGGCAACCAAGGCCACTCCATTTGTAACGTGAAGACTAATAAGTCTTAGACTTACATTGGTGTTCATGCTTCAAGGTGAAGATCAGACAAGCAAAGCAGCTGGACACTAGCTCTCACTCTATCTCAGAATGAAAGATGATCCTGGCTCCAGCAAACCTCAGACAGCTGCCTCTCCTCAACCTGACTGGAGCATTCTGAGACTTCAGTATCATTCTATCCTCAATGTGGCTGGAGAATGAAAGCCTGACACTGCCTTCTGAAGACCCTACTCCTATCTTTTATACCCCTCTAGTGCTGGGGATTAAGGTGTGTGATCCCAGGTTCTGAGATCATCTTGGTGTGAGCTCTTCTCTTTGGACGGAATCAATGTGGTACAGATCTGGTTGGCCTTGGACTCACTCAGATCCTTCTACCTCTTAATCCTGAATCCTAGGATTAAAGGTAGGTAGCATCAGTTTCTAGTTCTATGCCTGCTGGGATTAAAGGTGTGTATCACCACTGATTCATCTCCATAGCTTGAGGCTATCTGCCTCCCGAATCCTCAGGCAAGCTTTAATAAGTCATATACAATATATCACCACATTGTTGCTGATGGTTAGTCCTGAAAGATATTTTGAGCAAAATTAGGTTCGGTTATTATATAAAAAACTCTACTATAGAGTGAAGGCCATATGCTTTATTGTGAGGAAAAGAACCTCAAATACCATTGGACTTAAACGGGAACCCAGCAAGGTAAATGTTCATAATAACCGAAGGTGTTAACAGACAAGTTTTCTTTGTATGGAATCAAAAAGAAAGCCAATGGAAAATCACTTAAAATGCTCTGT